GCCTCTTGGCAGCGCCTCTGTGGATGTGGAGCTGGGCGGGATCAGGCGTTGGCACCAGGCCTGCCCCTGGGACCCATAGCCTGACAGTCCTTTCCGTCCACAGTGTGTTTCACAAACACGATTTTATGAGGGGCCAGCTACCCTGGGAAACCCGAGGGTCATTGCCCGTTAGACCCACGAGAATATGGGGATCAGGGGATTTGGTGGATGATGTGGGTCCTGGTTTCCGGGGGGTCCTAGGTGCTTCTATGGGACGGGATAGTAGCAGCCTGGTCCTTGCTGCAAACTTAGACCCGAGGGCCTCTGGTCACAGTGCTCCTTCTGTGATGGGGGCGGGGAGCGGGGCCTCTGTGGGCTGCAGGACTGCCTCCTCCCCAGCTTTCCACGCTGAGGCTTGAGGAGTCCAGTCCTCTCTTCCAGAGAACGGGCCTCTTGTTTGCTGAGCTGTTGGCGCCTCTGTGGGGGGGTTACCAGGCAACTGCCATGAGGAATGGCCTGGAAGGAAGGCCAGCCCGACCAGCCTGGCCCACGCCACATGGGTCAGGCCACGCCGAGGCCACAAAGGGCCATTTAGGCAGCTCAGCGTTACGTCCTGCCCCTTGCAGTGTCCTTCTTCGTGGTGAGCCTGGGGGGCACGCTGGTGGGGGTCGTGTTCGCTTTCCTGCTCTCCCTGGTGACCCGCTTCACCAAGCACGTGCGCATCATTGAGCCCGGCTTCGTGTTCGTCATCTCCTACCTGTCCTACCTCACCTCCGAGATGCTCTCCCTGTCGGCCATCCTGGCGTAAGTCCTCCCTGGCTCACCCAGGCCCCAGAGCCAGAGCACACCCTGCGGCCCTGCTGAGGGGGGTGGGCTGTGGAGGAAGAGGGCCGACCTGGGGAGCGGGACCCACCCAGATACGGGGGAGGCGGGAGTGGCGCCTGGTCCCGAGCCCTGCAGGAGGCACAGCCCCTTCTCCAGCCCACTGTCTGCTGGCCCACTTCCCAGCCTGATGGAAAGTCACTGTGGGGGCCAAGAATTTGATCTGTTTAGCTTTTTAAATAGGGAGTTGGAGTTCTGATGCAATTGTCAGAGCTGGCCCACACCCGCCCCTCCCTCCCGGGTCTGCCCTGCACCTCCCCTTCGAGCCCGCCCACCCACCGGCTTGGACAGAAACAGGCAGCCTGCTCTGCAGCCTAGGGTTCCGGTCCCAGAGGCTCATATCAGATGGCAGTGATGTTGGGGTACTGGAGCTGGGCATGGGCCAGCTCAAGGCCCTGGTCCCCAGTAGGAACCCTGAGCTCATGGAGAGAAGGGCTGACCAGGGAGGTGGATGTCTGTCCAGGACACAGAGGCCTGGAGGTGCTGCCAGGGGACAGCAAGCGCTGGATCTTGGGAACAGCCCCACCAGGTCAAGGGGGAGCGGCGTGTGGCCCTCGGCCTCACAGCATGTCGTCCCATCCCCAGCATCACCTTCTGCGGCATCTGCTGTCAGAAGTACGTGAAGGCCAACATCTCGGAGCAGTCGGCCACCACCGTGCGCTACACCATGAAGATGCTGGCGAGCGGGGCCGAGACCATTATCTTCATGTTTCTGGGCATCTCGGCGGTGAACCCCGAATACTGGAAGTGGAACACGGCCTTCGTGCTCCTGACGCTGGTCTTCATCTCCGTGTACCGAGCCATCGGTGAGGGCGTGGCGGGGTGGGGGTGTAGTAGGGGGTGATGGTGGGGAACAGGGTGGGGATGGGGAGGACCATGGATGATGAGAGGGGATGGGGGTCCTATGGGAACCATGGGAGATGGTGGGGGACAATGGGGATGGGGCACAATGGGGGGTGATGGGGTGGCATGAGGGGGGATGGGAGACTTTGGAGATGATGGGAAGATGGTGGGAGGACAACACTGGGGAGATCATGGTGGGTGACATAGGGACTGGCTGTGGGGAGTCCATGGGCTCCAGGGCCTCGGCGTTTGCCCCCACTCAGTGAGGGTAGGTTCAGGAGCCCCTGGTGAGCCTCAGACAGACTGTCAGGAGTCCTCAGTGAAGGTCCAGGCCTTCTTGGGGCCTTACCACAGTGAGACTAAGGTAGGGCAGCTCGGGGTCAGGGTGGAAGGGTCAGAACCCACGGGAACCCATTTGGTTTCCCACTGACTCCCTCTGGATGTGGCAGAGTGACTCGGGGACAGTGTAGTCACCGAGGAAAGGAAATGGCATGTGTGAGGCAGGAGTCACCATCTCTAGTGTGTGGTGCCTTGGAGACCTAGGTGGGGGCTAGTGGGGGCGAGAGAGGCTCCAAGTGATCACACCTGCTCCTCCCCCCCAGTCCTTGGGGACTAAGGGCTCAGGGAGCGATGTCTTGGTGGGGTAGGGTCACTCTCTTCCTGCTGCCCTCAGCAGTGGCCTTTGGCCCTGGAGCTGCCTCAGGCATCAAGAGGCAAGGCTTCAGCCAGTGCAGCCTTAGCCCCACTGAGAACTGAGACTCTCAGACACTGTAAACCCGGAGTGTTCGAAGTGTCCACAGAGACAGGCCCGGGTCCAAGGTGGGACAAGGGACGGGTGAACAGGGCTAGAGGGTGGAGTTTTCACCATCCCCTGTGCTAGATGCTGCTGCCACCTGTCACCACCCTCCATCCTAGGAGGGATTCCTAAATGTTCCCTCTCAAGTGCAGCGGCTGCCTGAGAAGGTGATCGCGGGGCACACAGCCCCCTGTGGAAGCTGAGCGCACGTCTGGTCCCTCAGGTGTCGTGCTGCAGACCTGGATCCTGAACCGGTACCGGATGGTGCAGCTGGAGATCATCGACCAGGTGGTCATGTCCTATGGCGGCCTGCGGGGTGCTGTGGCTTTTGCCCTGGTGGTCCTTCTGGATGAGAACAAGGTCAAGGAGAAGAACCTCTTTGTCTGCACCACCATCGTCGTCATCTACTTCACTGTCATCTTCCAGGTAGCCCTCAGCTGGGGACCAGCCGCACCTTGCTGTCCTCCTGTCAGCCCTCCATGCCCGACCCACCGGCCACAAGGCACAGGCCCCACCCTCACTGTGTCTCCAAAGAGCCTTTCCGAGCTCCAGGCCCTAATTGGATTTTATAATTTTAGTAACTAGGAGCTGTTTTGTAGGTTTTTATGTGGCCCCACAGGGGACACAGCACAATTTGGCTTAAAAATGTCCTTCCTTAGCCATCACTAGTTAAGGGAGCCCCAGTTAATATTTTATCACCCCACTTGGCCTTGCTTTAGGCTCATCTGAGGAGCTGAATTTGGGCTCTCAGGAGACAGCAATACACCCACAGGGGCTGTTGTGGGGGCTCTTCTCTGCAGGGAAGGTCACAGATAAGGGTGGCCCATTCCACCCTATGTGGGTGTGGGTGGGTCGGGTGTGGATTCACACATGGGTGCCCAGTGGGCTGGGTGTGGGGTGCAGTGAAGTCTGCCCTGGCTGTCAGGGTCAGTGTACTCCATTCTCCCAGGGCCTGACCATCAAGCCCCTGGTGCAGTGGCTGAAGGTGAAGAGGAGTGAGCACCGTGAGCCCAAACTCAATGAGAAGCTGCATGGCAGGGTAGGCGGGTGGGGGCTGGGGGTGGGGCAGGGGAAGAGTACTGGGGGGAGGGGGAGGCATGGGGAGAAGCACAGGGAGGCCCTCACGTGACAACCCTCCTGTCTGTTTTGGAAAGGCTTTCGACCACATCCTCTCAGCCATCGAGGACATATCAGGGCAAATCGGACACAATTACCTCAGAGACAAGTAAGTGGCTGGCGCTGCCTCTGGCGGGAACCTGGGGAGGCACTTTTGCCTCAGCTGTTTGTTTCCCTCCCTCTTCCTTTAGTCAAAGACTGAGTATAGGACCCTCAGGGGAGAAAGAATACCGCCTTTTACCTTAAACCTAACCCCACAAAACCCTAATTACAGAAGAACACTGCACTCAAAGGACCCAAAATGCCTGGGTTTCCTTCCTTCACCTGGGACCCCTCCTGCCCAGGGTGTCCCCCTGCCGCAGTGCACTGAGCCTCTTTTAGAAGCTTCTTTCCAAGTCTGGCCCAGTCACGTCCTATTCTAACCCAAACAACTGGTCACTGTTCTAATTGTGTTGAGTTTTAAAACTCCTTCTGGGCAGCCTGGTTCTAAGTGTGAGAGAGAACCAGGGGTTGGGGTGGGGGTGCAGGGGTGGCCTTCGCCTCACGCAGGTGCAATGTGCCCCTGTCACTGTAGCCAGAGCTCGGGGCCCCTGCCCTTGCCTGGCCCCACTCTGTCCTCAGCCCACCTTTCTGGAGGGTTGTGTAGCGACTTGGAAAACTCTCTACAATATCGAATTAAATGAGAAAACAGAACCTACAATTTTATATACATTCTAATGACAACTGTCCTCAGATAGAAAGGTAAGAACAAAGAACAGAATTGTGAAATTGGTATGATTGTCATTTATTGCTTTTATTTTAAAATTTGCCTTTGTGGTTGCTATAAATAGTAAAAAAAAAAATCTCTGGAGAGAGAAAGAGGTCTTCTGTGCCCACCCAGCTCTGGGAGACCATGTTCAGTGAGTCTGGGTAGGAGGTTGGGAATGCCCTGCCCATCCTCCCTGGGCTCGCCCACAGCCCGCCAGGTGCTGACACTGTCTGGTTCTATCCCCCAGGTGGTCCAATTTTGATAGAAAATTCCTCAGCAAAATCCTTATGAGAAAGTCAGCCCAAAAGTCACGAGATCGAATTCTTAATGTTTTCCATGAGCTCAACTTGAAGGATGCCATCAGCTACGTGGCCGAGGTACCAGACACTCCACATCTGCTCTGTGTTGGAGGTGGGGGCTGATGCAGGACCCGGACGTGGGACGGGGATAGCCATTGGGTCTTCCGCACCCAAGACATGGGGTGGCTGGGGAGGTAGTTGCGGGTGGCACTGCTATTCTTTTGTTGTTGTTGTTGTTAATCCCCACCCGAGGATATTTTTTCTATTGATCTTTAGAGAGTGGAAGAAGGGAGAGAGAGAGAAACATCAATATAAGAGAGACATATTGATTGATAGCCTCCTGTATGCACTCCAAATGGGACCAGGGATCAAACCTGCAACCCAGATACATGCCCTTGACTGGAAATTGAACTTGTGACCCTTCAGTTCACTGGCTGATGCTCTAACCACTGAGCACACTGGCCAGGGCACACTGTGCTGTTCTTAATGGTCCACCCACAACTCTATGTTAGGCTCATGGGTCCTTCAACACCCCAGGAAAGGGTCATGTCATAGCTCCTCACTCACAGGAAGCTGAGGCATAGAATCTTCCCCCATTCCTCTGTAGCAGCGGTCGCCAACTGGTGGTCCGTGGACCACTAGTGGTCCGTGAGGTCTGAAAGGTTGGCGACCGCTGCTCTGTAGGATACTCTATGGTGCTGGTGGGTCGGTCTGACCTCTGAGACCAGGTAGGGAATTATGGGGCTATGGCTCCCAACATAAATGCACACACATACATGCATGCACACCCAGGCACATGCAGACATATGTGTGTGCATATGCACACACGCAGTGGGAAGCAGCAAGGATATCTTCTCAAGTTCCAGGGGGTAAGTATGGAACAGACCCATGGACAGGCTGTGGTTCAGAAGTGGCCTCCTCAACATCTCTTTGTCCCTCCAAGTGAACGATTCTCCTGCACTCACAGAGCTCCCTGCCTTCTCGGGGTAAATGGGTCCACCCCCAGGTCTCTGAAAAGGCTCTCCATCCCCATGCATCCAGGGGGTGGCATCAATGAGCAGGGCTCAAGAAGCACGTGGGTGGACTGCATGGTGACACCCAGCATCTCGCTGTTTCTGATACCACCTCCCTAATGGCAGCCTCCAGCCCCTGACAGGACTCAGGATGTGTCAAATGGGACAGGAGTCATGGTGGGTCTCAGGTCTAACTCCACTCCTCATGGGACACGCAGTCTGGCTGTCCTCTTCCCCAGTGGCCACACACCTCCTGGCCATGCTTCCTAGCTTCTCAATGCATACATGTGACCATCACATGGCCATTACATTCATCACCAGGCCACCTCTGCAATATGTATGTCTCCATGCATGCCCCGTGGGTCCCAAGGTCACCTGGCGCCCTGCACAGGCCTGGGTCTAGGCAAGTCCTGAGCTTGCTCCTCCCCTATCCCCAGTGTGTGGCCTGTAACAGTGACTTCCAGGCCATCCCACACAGCCTTGCTGGACACTGCTGCCCACAATGACACCCAACATTCACAGCGGCAGGGTCACTTTAGACCCCTGCCCCTGCCTCCTCTGAGGGGCTCTGACCAGGAGTCCCTGCCTTGCTTCTGATCCCTCAGAACCTGCAGATTTCATGCCTTCCCTTTGTCCTTTCCTGTGCAGCTGGGGTCTGCATAGAGCCTGGTGAGCTGGGAGTCTCAGCAAACCTGGTGGCCTCAACACAGAGATGGAGTTAGGGGACCGGAAGCATCTGTTTGTTCAGAGAGAAAATTACTGCTGCCTCTGCAGGGCTCCTCAACCCCCCACACACCAGACACTCAGATGCCCAGGTTACTCAGAGGGACCAGGTGCTCCTGGCAGAGGAGCTGGGGGCCATCAGGAGATATGGAGAGGGGTCCCTAAACCATCACTGAGACAATACCACCTCAATCCCACTCCATAGAAACCCAACCCACATGCTCCAGACCCCCAGACCCCATGGGGGTGATGGAGGCTCCTGACAAGGTCCCCAACCTTACTTCTGCCTGTTGCTCCCCACATCCAGTGCCCCAACCCCTGGTCAGGCCTGCTCAGATGGCACCAGCGGGTGGCCTGTGCACCTTGCTGTCTGCCTTCAGCAGGTTGGCCCCACCTAGCCACCCTTCCCCCCAGCTCCAAGCCCCTCTCCTAAGGGGCGTCCCCACCCCATAGCCCAGCCCTCACCCCCAGAAGCCAGGATGTGACTTTGGTTCCCATCAGGCTCTGCTCTGTGTGGTCTGTCTGAAGATTCAATCCTGAGGATTCCTTTCTTGGAGAAACAAGGACAGCTGGTTTGGACCCCCAGTAGTGACAGGGGTCGCCTTCCTAATCCCATGGGGATCTGTCATGCTTTCCCAACATTCCCCAGGTGCCACTGAGGTGCTGTGTCCTTCACACACAATTGTGTCTTCACTTTCCTCTTAACACAATGGCTAACTAACCGCTCAGCTCAAGCAAGGCCTTGGCTACGGTCTCTGAAATCTCCGCTCTCCAGGTGCTGTAGGCTTCCCAGGCCCTGTCCACTCTGTCCCAGTGCCTGGGCTGGCCTGGGGTGCTCCCTGTCCTGGCTTATGCAGGCATATCCTCTCGCAGGGAGAGCGCCGTGGGTCCCTGGCCTTCATTCGCTCCCCCAGCACGGACAACATGGTCAACGTAGACTTCAGCACACCACGCCCCTCCACTGTGGAGGCCTCCGTCTCCTACCTGCTGTATGTGCCCCAGTCTGCCCAGGCTTCCCCCTGGGAGAGGCCACCCCTCACCAGGGCACCTCTCACCATGCCCTGGAGGCTGCTGCGGGCAGGAGACAGGGGTGGGGGTGACGGTATTCCCTGCTCAGTACTTCCCAGGTCTTCCTGATCATAGCCACACCAGAGGTGTGGACAGACATCAACCAATGGGCATCTTGTGGGGTCAGTCTGACCAAAACCCCCCAGGAGAGGACTCCCAGGATCAGCCCTCTTGGCAGTGGCTGGTGCCCAGGCCAGAGGGCACGGGGCAGGAGGGGCAGACACGGAGAGCAATGGAACTCTCAGACACTCTACGTCCTCCCATGTAGGAGGGAGAATGTCAGTGCGGTGTGCCTGGACATGCAGTCCCTGGAACAGAGAAGGAGGAGCATCCGCGACACAGAGGACATTGTCACTCACCACACGCTGCAGCAGTACCTGTACAAGCCCCGGCAGGAGGTGGGCTTGCCAGCGAGTGGGGGCTCCTGTCCAGAGCCCTTCGGGATCCTGACCAGAGAGAAAGCCTTGGGTGGGGGCACAGGTCCTCCTCTCTTCTCGCTGAGCAAAGGGAGAAATCCTTGTCTTTAGGGCAGACACTGCTCAGGTTGGAGGGTTAGGGCTCGGCCTACCAGCCAGGTGGTCCCGGGCTCTGGAGTCCTGGGGGTCTGTCGGGCCAACTTCACAGGGAGCCTGCCATGGGGCTGCCCTCCGCGGTGAGGTTAGGTGCCTCCAGCTCTGCAGGTCACCACCTGTCCCTGTCACCTCCCCCTTCCCCAGTACAAACATCTCTACAGTCGACACGAGTTAACTCAGGACGAAGATGAGAAGCAAGACAAGGAGATCTTCCACAGAACCATGAGGAAGCGCCTGGAGTCCTTCAAGTCGACCAAGCTGGGCATCAACCAGAACAAGAAGGCGGTCAAACTGTATAAGCGAGAGCGTGCCCAGAAGCGGGTAAGGGTGCTGAGCGAGGGACCACGGGGCAAGGGGGA